ATTATATATAGGCCTATGTATATAATATCTTTTTCTTACCTTGACCCCCCGCAATGTATTTAACACCGATCCACTGGCCCGGAATCATTGAGCTATGATGATAAACGTGTAAGAACGTGACCTGACTATTTTTCTTGCGTAGAATGAAGAAAACCGTATCCAATAATTCAATCACTTTGGAGAAGAAAATTACCACCAGCAAACACTCGCCATCTGCGTCGGGGGAATAAGAGACTGTTTCATTTTATAAAGCTAAAAAAAATGTCTTGCCCAAACTCAGTGTCAATGGCCATGGACCGCTCAGGAGCGTCAAGCAACAATATCCAAAGGGGGCGGGGGGCTTCAAAACAGGGTCGGTTGGTCATGGCTAACCACCTCCATCCCTTTATGGGTAAAATGAACTAATTGATGGTTAAGGTATAAAATTATTTGATTACTCTATACAGGTGGCTTGAAAATATTTCGAGGCCAACAAATCCCATCATAGAGTTTCGATTTCTATGCAAATCACTTACCCGCATAGCAAGAGGAGAGGTAGAATAATCCACTGGCTGACACTTGTAGCTGTAGTTACTGATAATAGATGTGATAAGGAACTGTAGAAATTAAAAGTTTAATAGGTCCAAAATTAGCCTAAAGCTGTAATCATACCGAATACGAATTTTCGGATCGGAGGGCGTACCGAACCGGTCAGAAAATAAAATCAGTGTGTAAGAATAAGGACGCTGGCGTTAAGCCCATCGGAAAAGCGGTCCGCTGTGTATGCAGCTTAATTCAACTTGTTTTACTCCCAAATTACCTTTTTTTAACAAGCAAGATGAATCTGTGTATGATGTTTTTTTAACACCCAATTCACCAGATAAATATTACATGGATGGGACGCATGCATGTTACACGGGCTTAACAAGATATTACGGATCGTTCACACGAGCGAATTCAAACTAAAAGTCGGTAGGCCTATAATTATAAGAAGATTGACACACAGAAAGGTAAAAAAAAGGAGAGTAGGCCGACAGTGGCCATGTAGTGATGCACACAGATGCGTGTGGTTTGTTTTTGTTTGTTTTTGTTTTTTTTGTTTTTTGTTTTTAATTACTGTATCCTTTGCTCAATAAAACAAAAATACATGAAATAAATTGTACATCAGTACCATTGGAACTTATCCAGAACAAAGCAAAACAATTACCACCCTCTCTCCCTCCCCCCCCCCCCCCCCCCCCCTCTCTCTCTCTCTCTCTCTCTTTTTGTACCAGCATTTTTTTCCCTGGGGAATTCGTCCTGCCTGGAAAGCGCGGAGTTCACCTGCAGATAGGGACCCAAATTCATGGACACCGATCCCTTTGACACAGGCGTAAGTATTTTGAGTAAAATACTCCTCGGAAAGAAATTTTAAAAATGTATTATTTTTATATCCTTAATTCTAATAAACTTACCTCTTTAAACATATAAATAGATAAAATCACGAGCATAACGTTGTATAAAAATATAATGGATCTTATACTATATGGCTTTCTATCCTTCATGAACATTGGCCCAAAACCTACAAATAAGTCGTAGACTACGTAACAGCCAAGTGCAGGCCAAGGTGTTGCCATCAAAAACCAATCTCCGACCCTGTCATCTGAAACAGAATCAAACGAAGTACGGTATTGTACATTAAATGTATATGTAGAATACGTTTTCCACAACTAATGGCGTTAGGATTTTAATCTGGTTAGACTTAACATGGAATTAGAAGGTAAGCAACCACCCGGAAGCTACACAGCTCCAATCCATCAGCATTGCAGGATTTGAACCCACGACCCTGGGATTGGAAGGCAAGCATCTTCGACTAAGTTACAGCTCCATCCAATCAACATTGAATATGAACTCAGGGCAAGGAATTAAAAAAAAGAATCTCAACCATCAAACTGGTGAATCCAGGATTTAAACATGTTCCTTATCCCGTCGAACTCCCAATGGTTATTCGAGCAGACTCCCATCAAAACCCGGTGTGACCAAACCGGGGTCTTCAACACAACAGGTAGGCCTAAAACCGCTCAGCTCTGGACAAACCAGGGACTTGTTATAGTGATAACAACTCCCTGTGACAAACAGACAAGTTGCTCTATGCATAAGCTATTATAAGGCTTAGCATATTGATGCATTAGCTGAAGTCAAGGGTATTGCAATAGCGCGCGTCGGTGTGGTGGTGGTGGGGGTGTGTGTGGGTGTGCGTGTGTCCTTCCAGGCGCATAACTCAAGAACTACTGGACCGATTTACTTCAGATGTTCACATACTCACAATGTTCCACTGTGTTCAAATATAATGAAGTGTAGTTTGGTTATTATGGTCAACTTTCCTGAGTGTAATCCTCCAAACACCTCACAACTAAAAACAACTAGGTTCTCTAATCCCCACAAGAGATTATTACTCACCTCCAGACTCTATCATCCAGTTGTAGAATCTGTTTATCCTTCCTAAAGCGTCGTAGTGGCCATAGTAGTAATCATAGTAGTAATAATAGTAGGTTGATAATGAAAGCGCCATGTTGAATCCTTGTCAGAACCCCTTCAAAATCAATAATCAAAATGGATACAATGATAGGCCTACATGAGATAGAAAGAACTACTTATTCTTAGGAAACGAGTATATTATCACCCGTAAATATTCGGATAAGCGCCGCGGCGCTTACAACATTTTTGGAGGCTTCAGTGCGGCGCTTATTCGAGAGCTAGCTGCGCTTATTAAATAAATATTGGCGTTGCGCTTTCCATGCCCATTCATGTTACCTATCTTACGTATCCCGAATTGCGGTAGGCCAAGGCCCTATATAATCGTAAATAGACTTTTATAAAGATATGCTTGTGTCTTCATTGTGTTATTTATTCATTTGAACAAACCCTTGTTAATTACACGCAGGGTATATACTGTATGTACACTCGAATATTTTATCAAGAGAGGCGTTTATTCGAGGATTTATTACGTTAAATAATAAAAAGATCAAAAGTTAAGCTTTTGGAGAACTTCGTTGAGTCTGTTTTTCGTTTAAAGTGCACTATTCCGGGTGCTAACACTTCTCCTTGAGCAGAGGCGGATCCAGAATTGTTTAAACGGGGAGGGGGATTTTCAGAATAGTAAGTGAGTAGCGCTAATTTCAGTGCATAATATTGATAGGCCTATGCATTGAAACTTTAAAATTTAGTGGCAAAACGGGGGAGTACGTGCCCCTCCCATAGGCGTAGATCCCGGGGGGATGGGGATATATCCCCAATATTTGACAAGGGGTGGGATGGTCCATTGTATCATCCCCCCCCCCAATATTTTGACTATGTATGGGATAAAATGGAGCTTTACACACTTCAAAAGATTGTCACAGAACTAATTTGCACAGTATTATGTGCTTACAAAGACGAAAATTAGCATAATGTATTAATGTTGATAACAAAATTATTTTACCTGGTACCAATCTAAGCTCTTCTTCCTTAGATGTTAGATGTGCTTGCAAAGAGAGCCACATTTTACACTGAAGGGTGTGTACGACATCAGTAATGTTATGTCAATTCCAAGAATGTTTAAGGTTATATCGGTTGATGAGGAATTTATTGATTAGGCCTATAATAGCAAATTGCATCAATTTATTTTGCAAAAACAAGGTTTCCAGCTTCAGAGGGGAGTACATCCCCTGTCCGCACAAGGGCACATATTGGCGCTAAAACCAGGCGCGTAACAGGGGTCTTGGGAGTGGGTAAAAATTTAAAAAATAATTTTTTAAATTTTTTATTTCAACCATCTTTAAAGAGGGTAACCCTTCTAGTTTAGCCCAGTAGGTTAACTTATATTCAGGGGCCCTCTTTAATAAAATTAAAGAACAGTACAAACAACATCATTACAATATAATAATAATAATAATAATAACAATAACAACAACAACAACAACAGCAACAGCAGCAGCAGCAACTACCAACTAACAACTAACAACAACCAACTACCAACTAACAACAACCAACTACCAACTAATAACAACAACAACCAACTACCAACTAACAACAACAACCAACTACCAACTAACAACAACAACAACCAACTACCAACTAACAACAACAACAACCAACTACCAACTAACAACAACAACAACCAACTACCAAGTAACAACAACCAACTACCAACTAACAACTAACAACAACCAACTACCAACTAACAACAACCAACTACCAACTAATAACAACAACAACCAACTACCAACTAACAACAACAACCAACTACCAACTAAACCAACTACCAACTAACAACAACAACAACCAACTACCAACTAACAACAACAACAACCAACTACCAACTAACAACAACAACAACCAACTACCAAGTAACAACAACCAACTACCAACTAACAACAACAACAACCAACTACCAACTAACAACAACAACAACCAGCTACCAACTAACAACAACAACAACCAACTACCAACTAACAACAACCAACTAACAACAACAACAACCAACTACCAACAACAACTACCAACTACCAACAACAACTACCAACATTATTATTATTATTATTATTAATAATAATTAATAATAATTAATAATAATTAATAATAATTAATAATAATTAATAATAATTAATAAATAATAATTAATAAATAATAATTAATAATAATTAATAATAGTTAATAATAATAATAATAATAATAATAATAATTAATAATAATTAATAATAATTAATAATAATGATGACACTCCTACACACCTGTCTCTTATACACATCTAGATGTGTATAAGAGACCTGGATAGGCGCCTGCCTGGTGAGTGAGTAGGCTGCCCCATTCCACACTCACTTCCTGCAACTGATATACCAGGGATTGGAGTAAAGGCACACAAGTGAATCCTTTAAGCTCTCTCCACACCATAAAATTTTGTGTGACAAATTTGTGTGATGTCACATTACAACCAAAAATATGGGCATATCATATTTTGTCACATAAAATGTGATGGTTAACTCTTCAATCTTCATCTAACTTTCTTACAAATTTGAAATCCTTCCAGTTTGTTGGTATAAAAAATGAACTCATTACTGAATCATTACTGAAGATTCCTGATTCTTATAAAAATTATTAAGAAAACCACTTCAGAAACATAAATGTGATGATAACTACGGTACCATCCCATATAAAATTATTTTTTTGTTTCTAAATGATGAAAGATGCGTGGCCTCGAAACCTAACTGAAATAAATCTTCATAAATCTTATCTAACCTGCTTACAAACAAACCTCGTGTATACTGAATGACAATCATAATGACATTTTTTCTTCTTTTTTTTATATCGGTGAAGCGGTCGCTTTCGTTCAGTCAGACTCATCTGCAAATACTATCATCCATTCTATTATTCACATTCTCATTTTTCAGCTTGGCATTTACTGATGTTCTTCTAAGTTGGATCATGGAGGAACTAATTTAGACTAATTCCTCCATGGCTGGATTCATGTATTTCTTCCCGTAAAGCAAGTGTATGAGTGCCATGAGTGAAACAGCAAAGAAGTGCTTGGTCCACATGCGTTGTCCTTAAATTTCAGCTGTTGCAGTTTTTGTTTTGCAATCTTAGAAGTTACGTTTTCATTTGCGGAAGAAATTCAAATAATTCGCTCCAGTTAAACAATCAAATCCTACTTCAACAATTGAAAATATTCAAAAGTTTATCATTGACATTTAAAAAATGATTAATCAGCAAAATTCAGAAACATGATCGCCTTATAAGACTGAATTTATTGTTTCCATCCTAAATTCCGACTAAAGCTACGATCTATATATCTCTTTGTATTGATGACATCGTCATTAAATCTGGTCTCATTCAAGGTTTTGTTGTTATCCACGATGAATGTATTACGTGTAATCCTCGCATTTCAGTGGTCTGTAAGCCTAAATATTCCTTTTCTCTTTTTTTCATCATTCATCAATGGCAAAGCCTATATTTAATTCCATGAAATTTTGGCCTTAACGGCCCAACAAGACATGTTTCGGCAGTGCTTCTATCCATCATCAGTTATCGTATTGCCCGCAGGCCATAATTAGTATAAATATTCCTTTTTATACCTTGTGTAGAATATGTAAGTTTCACCCAACCAGTGGCGTATCAATGAGAATTGAAAAGTGGGTGTCTCAATGATTGAGTGAGAGGGCGTTAGCTCGAAAAATAAGATGGTGTGAGATACTTTTTATACTTCATCGTATTTTTTTTTTTGTTTTTTTGTTTTTTTGTTTTGTTTTGAACATCTTCAATGTAGGGCGACTAAAGGGGTGGGGGCGTGCGCTCCCGTGCAGGCGCATCCCATGGACACGCCACCCCGTCCAATTACATTGAAACGCGGGTTCATACGAAAACGGTATGAATACTGTTTTCTGATATTCAGGTATAGCACCTTCTGTTCTTTACTAGTCGTGGTCATTGAAACGTAAAAGATAATATATAGAACAATTGTCGACCTTCTTACAGTGAAGTAAATCTAAAAAGGTACTCATGAAATATGATCATTACCGTACATGTTATGTGGACAATGTAGTTGAACAAACGGTGCGTGCCGACATTTTAGTTGCTTTAGAAATGTTTTCAAAAAGTATTTCATGTATTTCTTCCCGTAAAGCAAGTGTATGAGTGCCATGAGTGAAACAGCAAAGAAGTGCGTATCCAGGGTGGGGGGGGGGAGCGGAAACACATGCCTACTTAAATACCTGAATGAAGAAAATTTAGAGACTTGAATAAGTTCAAAGGAATACGAATCTGTTCATGGCTTCTTGTTATTACAAAAGTTTTAAAAGCAGATCAGGAATGGATTAATGATCCCGGACGATACAGAACGAAATGATGACACTCCTACACACACTTCTCATAGGCCTACTTCTCTTGTTGATGCATATTGTAGTTATATTTACAATACAAAAAAATAGGCACCTATACTATCTAGGCACAATTTCACTCACTAAGGTTGTGACTACATTTCTAGGGGCGAGTTTATATTAGCAAAAACATCCGGCAAGCAGACGCTGCGAAAACTTAATTCCTACTGTTTATACAAGGGAATATAAGCAGCCTTCCCGGCTGCTTATCTATAATTACGATGATAAACACTGGTTAGCTTATAGTAGGTGAATCTAATGGTAAGTAAATTCCTAATCTTCACATAATTTAGGAGTGAAACAGAATATATAAATAATTGAATTAATTTACCGTATTTATGAATGAGACTGATGCCAAATGGTGAATTGGCTTAATTAGCCCTGTTTTATCCTCAAGTAACTTTTTAAACCAATAGGTTGATCGATTGAATAACAAAACACTTCCAGATAATCAGGAAAAAGGTGCTCCGATACTTGCTACCGGTAGTACGACATAATCTCCCATGAATGTTCAGGGGTAGGCTTCAGTGTCTGCACAGCATGCTTGAGCAATCTTGTCTGATCCTCCTTATTATGTTGAAATTCGCACTTATATTAGAAGTATTCAATTCACCAAACTGTATTATTGTATTATATTAGAAATGACTGCTATCTTTGAATATATTAAATACATTTATTTTGTTGAGAAGTGGGGTTTTTTTTGGGTGCTTATTAGAGGCGTTTATTCGAAGAAGGCGTTTATATTATTCTCTTTTTTGTGTAAAATGGTCACGTATATATTAAAACGCCCATTAATTTCACTTTAAATGTAGAACTACAACATATAATTACTGTCAAAATATGTTATTGTGTGACCATAAAGAAAATAATCACCAGATTAGAAAAAAAATGCAATTCTACTGGAGTAAAACATTCATATAATGTATTGAGAATGATGTTGCTGTGCTTCCAGTAGATTTAGCCATTTAGAGGATGGGAGTTTATTCTAGGAAATAATAAACGCCCCGGGCCGTGGCGATTATTCGAGGGAGGGGTCTATTCAAAATGAGACCCTCGAGGGGAGTTTATTGAAAGCGGAGCGTTTATTCGAATACTCTAAATATGGTAAGTCAGTTGAGTCTATTGCAATTTATTGAAGATATACTTAATCAAATAATGACAAAACAAACATACAACCATCACAGGCCAAGTACATAGGCCAGCAGTTTCTTTCTTTTTTTAAGTTTCATTTATGTTTCTTTTCAGTTTATTCAGAAAAAAAGTAATGTATTCTCCGGTAGATGAAATGCGCACCGTCGAGTTTCGGCATTGGTCACGCATCGTCAGGAATTCCTGGCAATGGCGTGAACGGTGTCAAGCGCGGTGGCGTGCGTTTCATTTCTTGGGATGGGTATTATATTTTTTTTCTCGTTATTAGTTAAGTAACAAATTCAAAATACTGATAATGTAATTATTAGACAGTATATTAGTTAAGTAAGAAATGTCTATAGCAAGACAAATGTACATATGTTATTATCTTATATTGTGAATTGTCGTTGCACATCTCTTTAGCGATTGTGCCTCTGTTGCACAAGAGAAACAATAAAGTTATTATTAATATAGGACCCCACAATTGAAGCTTGCTTACAGTGGTTTTTATTTAGTCTATTTTTATTTAAAATTTATTGTGTTTATATGTATATAATCTGTTTTGTTTCGTGAAATAAAATATACTTTGATACATTGATACTTATTATTATTGGCCCCGGGGAAACCTGGGCGTAACAGAACACCATCGAGCGTATTCCAACCAATAAAGCAGGAAATGACAAAAATAATAAGGACAATGACAAAAATTTAATTTAAAATTATCAAATTGTATTTAAAATTTATCAAATTTTATTTCTCAGACAACAAATAACTGCACCTTAAACCAGAAATCAAAAGATAATACAAAATAAAAATAAACTTAAAACTTAAACTTTTCTTATCTTTTTCGCAGCAATAAAATGTTAATATTTAAATATTGTTCTCTTTTGAATCATATATTTGTAAATCAAGTATTTAACAGAAAGATATTATGTCTAAATCATATTCATATTTATTTTTAATATCACTTCCAGTACTGTTTTTTAATTGAAGCACTAAACTTCTATTATTGCTTTCTTTGGATTCTGAAATGAGTGCAGCATAAACTGTAAATTCTATGGCTACATTATTTGGTTGATATGTTCATGCAGCTCATACAACAATATCAAACATACATTATATTTCTATTAACAGATACAGCATGAATCTCTCAGCACTATCAAATTTCATGTGACAAATTTGTGTGATGCACCCATATATGGTATTTCTATAAATAGATACAGCATGAAGCCCTGTCCACACTATCAAATTTCATGTGACAAATTTGTGTGATGCTCCCATATATGGTATTTCTATAAATAGATACAACATGAAGCCCTGTCCACACTATCAAATTTCATGTGACAAATTTGTGTGATCCTCCCATATATGGTATTTCTATAAATAGATACAGCATGAAGCCCTGTCCACACTATCAAATTCCATGTGACAAATTTGTGTGATGCTCCCATATATGGTATTTCTATAAATAGATACAGCATGAAGCTGTCCACACTATCAAATTCCATGTGACAAATTTGTGTGATGCTCCCATATATGGTATTTCTATAAATAGATACAGCATGAAGCTGTCCACACTATCAAATTTCATGTGACAAATTTGTGTGATGCTCCCATATATGGGCATGATGATGCCATACACCCAAATATGAATATATGACATTTATTTGTCAGATAAAATTTGATAGTATGGACAGAGCTTAATTCAACACAAAATCACAGCAGTGATGGAATGTTTTGGAATATATGTCATAATCAGGGGCTGATCCAGAGATGTCTGCAAGGGGGAGGGTAGGGAATGGGTGTACAATTGAGAGACAACACTACCCTAGGGGAGCATTCCTCCAGGAAATTTTCGTTTTCTAGATGCCCAAAAGTAACCCCTGAGGCGTTTTGGGTGATCAATAATTTATTTTCTTTTTTTTTACTTTCAAAAAGGAAACCGGGGTCGGCCCCCCCCCCCCCCCCCCCCCCCCCACCCC